TTGCTTTACGGATAACTACATAAATATTCCGATTACATATACATGCACATGACATAACCTTACATACTACAGATAGATGGTGCAGCTAGATCACTACTGCTACGTATAACGACGACCGGACGAATACGACGGCGCGTACGATAATCATGACAGAGACCGACGACGAGATAAGACAATAACATGAGCCCGCATTTTAACGATAGATATACATATATATGGATCATATACGTTATTTAACGTATCCCCTAAATAACAAACTCACTGGCCCGTACTCGGCCGCATTTATTAAACGCCACGGATAAGCATATAAATGCGTATAGCATCGCCAGCATAACGCAAAACTCGCGAAATCTCAGCCGCCTATACAGGTAAGGGCACTCTACGTCAGCTCACTGACCAAGGTACGGTCATCAGGGTGCGAGTGCGAGCGATCGCAACGATGAATTAATTATTGAAAAGCTTCGCGGCACGCTACTAATAAAGAATATATTTTTAATAGAAGATATGGAGTGTGTAGTGTATGCAGGTGTATATATATATATATAATTACTGCTCGCCCGGTCGGCTGAAACCTTTACATTGAAGATGATTAACAGCAGTCCGGTCTGGTATTATTCAACGATTCCCGAGCAAGTGAGTCACGTGCGGAGTCGCGCGGCAAGACGCTGTGCACTTGTAAGCCTCTCCATGGCGCAGCTAACCCGTCAGCTGCGCGGTCAAGAGCTGCCGCTACGGGCTGCGGCGGCGGGCCTGCCGGCCGCGCTAGCTTCGTAGAGCTGCGTGCATCATTGAAATCGAACACGTGACCGAAAAGAGTGAGCGGGAAGAAACGCAGACCTCATGCAAGATCGTTCAGTGCTAGTCTCTGCCGTCGTCACATAACGCACACACACACGCACACGCGCACACACAGACACAGACTCAGACGCACACGCGTACACACAGACATCCGCAACACACGACACACACACCACACACACACACACACGACACAGACTGCACACACCACACACACACAACACACACACACCACACACACACATCATATAACGACCCACACGACACACACACGCCCACGCGCACTCCCATTACCCTCCCCCCACGCCCAATCCGGCCATACCACTATAACACCACTCCTCTCTCTCCTTCCCACGCCCCCCTGACCAGCCGCGCACGCGCCAATTCCCGCGCTCAGCAACGGCTAACATCCGGATCCATTCATTGCGCTATGGACGCGATCGCTCGCAGGACTGCTTAACAGGATAAGGGGAATCTCTCTAACCACCCCTCCCCGTCCTCCGACTGCGCACGCCAAAAACCAGCAAAAAGCGCGCCGCAGCACCAGCAACCGACACATTATGCAACAGAGCGACAAACAATTATTCCCAGAGCAATCTCTATCGGAAATTGCCACGCGTAGACGCAGCTCTATCCTCGACCAAACACAGCGCGCATAACTCCGCACATGCAGGTACTCCCTCCTTCCCCCTCTTAACTCCTATAACTCCATGCCATGATACAGCTCTCGCGTCCATATGTCGCAGGACATCAAGGAACACGCGTCACGTAAGTTACATGCTCGTGGGTCGGATAGCAGACGGATAACATCAGGCGGCAGGCATATCACAGACTACGACTGCTGTGCTGCTGCGGCTGCTGTTGCTGTGCTGCTGCTGCCTGCTGTTAGCTGCTGCGGCGGCATGCTGGGCTGCGGGGCTGCTGCCTGCTGCGGCTGCTGTGCTGCATGCGCTGTGCTGCTGATTGCTGCTCCCGGCTGCTAATGATGATTGATGATGATGCTGCTGCTACTAGCATGATGCTGCCTGCTGCTGCGGCTACTGCCTGGCCTGCGGCGCTGCTGCTGATGCTGCTGCCCTACGGTACCGTGCTGGTACGACGTACTGCTGCTGGTGCTGCTAGGTGCTGCTGCGTACTGCTGACCTGCTAACTAGACTGCGCTGCTGCTGCTGACTGCTGTGCTGCCTGCGCTGCTGCCTACTGGCTAGCTGCTACTGCCACTGCTACTACTACTGCCTTGCTGGCTGCTGGTGTGAGTGCTGCTGCTGCTGCGGCTAATTGCTGCTGCTGCTGCATGCGACTGCCTGTAACACGGCGACTGGCTGCTGCCACTGGGCTACTGCTGCCTGCTAATGCTGCTCTGTAAGCTGCTGCGGCTACGGCTACTGCGACTACGACTGCTGCTGCGTATGCTGATGTGCTACAGACTGCTGCTGTGTGGCTGCTCGGTGCCTGTGCTGCTACTAGCTGCTCGCTGCTGCTGCTACTGCTACTGCTGCTGTGGGAGGTACGAGCTGTCGCAAGGACAAGAGCTCGAAACTAATCAATGTCCAAAAGCGATGACCGTTACGGTTTCACTGAGGTTCATGTAGCGCAGACGTCGGGAGACGCGTGTGTGCGTGCGTGGACTCAGAGCTCCATCGACATCGTAATGACAACGTGACATGGCGTTGGAAACTTTAGCGCTGGTGATTGTAATCCCTCCAAGCCGGATAGTGCACTGCACGTGTAAAGCGCCCTTATTACTCGCTATCTACTCTCTGCCCCTCTCTCTTTCTCGCTATCACACCGGCCAGGAGTGAATAATGACAAATGGTTGACAATGATAATTTGTCATATTCACCACCCGAACCCCCGCTAGTCACAGGACGTACAGACGCATAAAACACACGCGCGCGCGCCGCGCAACAACAACAACACACCACACACACACAATACACACGCACACACACGCGCGCGCGCACACAAAGCACACACACACCACAACACACACACAACACACAACACATACTCTCTCGCCCTCTCCCCCAGCTCTCTCTCGCTCTCTCGTTCTCTCTCTCTCGCATCGCGCTATCTTCTCTCGCTCCACGCTCTCTCTTTCTTCGCTTCCTAGCCCCCTCGCTCGCTCTCTCTCTCCAGCGCTCTCTCTCGACTCTCTCTCATCTCTCGCTCTCTCTCTTCTTACCCCGCCGTTCTCTCTCTCGTACGCTCTCCTCTCGCTCTCTTCGTTTACTTTTATCAATCATTAGGCTCTCTCTTCCCTTTCTTTCGTATGGGTCTGCCTCGTCCGCTCCGTTTGCAGCCTGATCTAATCGTTTTGCCTCGCGTTGCGAAAGATGCTGTGCGGGTACAATTAGGTCGCGGAATTAATGTACGAAACTCGTGAAATAGCTGAGTGAGCGGAATATGCATGCTGCGCTTCCGATCTCACGCGATTCCTGCGGAGTAGAGCCTTTTTTTCCGGGTGTTCTGGCATTCGGCGGTAACTTAGTGCAATTAGGACGCGATACATAAGCGGGTCAATGCTCGCGTAGTCATTGTTACAGTTCGCGCACGACACGCACGCCGCACACACACACACACACGCACACACACAGCACACAACACACACGACAGCACACCACACACACGCACACACACAAACACACACACAGCGCGCGACGCACGACGCATAGCCACACGCAACACATACACACACATCACACGCACACACGCACGAACGCACGCCAGTACGCATGCCCACAACGCACACAGCACACGCACACACACACACACCACCACAACACACACACACACACGCACACGAGAGAAGAGAGAGAGAGAGAAGGAGGGGGAGAGAGGGAGAGAGAGAGATAAGAACGAAGAGAGATTAAGAGTGGCGAGAAATAGCAGGAGGGGACTTGGAGAGAAACGATAAAGAGAACGAGGACTGAGAGAGAGGGAGAGGATGAGAGAGCAGAGACGAGAGGCGAGAGGAGAGAGAGAGCTGGATGAGAGAGAGAGAGAAGAGAGAGAGAGCCAGAAGAGAAACCAAGAGAAGAGAAGACAGGAAGATGAGAATAACACGCGCACACACGCAGCGCGGCACGAGGAGAGAGAGAGGCTGCGAAGTATGATATCGAGATAGCGATATATCTCTCTCTCTCTCTCTCTCTCTCTCTCTCTCTCTCTCTCTCTCTTTTTCTCTCTCTCTCTCTCTCTCTCTCTCTCTTTCTCTCTCTCTCCTTTTTTCTCTCTCTCTCGCGCGCTCTCTTTCTCTACATACTCGCCTCGCGTACAGCAGTCTAGCTCTCTAGTAAGAGATACTTTGGCACACAGGTGGCTGGCAATTGTGGCGTACTTACAGCAACTTAAAACCTCCAGCCGGCAACACTTCGGCTATCGTCTAGCATACGAAGATTTGTCAGCGACCTCGATTTTCATCTGCTTCCACATTTTGCGAAAATCTCACAGGTTTCATCTCGTGGGATTTATTCGCTTATACGAATACCTGGTTAGGCATGGTAAACAACCTGGTATCTAATTCTATCAAATTAGCAGAGTACTTGCAAGAAAACCTGTATGTAATGAAATTTGGCGCACACCTTTATAGCACGGTAACGTCCTTACTAGTATGTGTCGATTATCGAAACGCGCTTGCGCCTATCGGATTTTTGTACAACCGTTTACACCGTGTTAAAATTGTCTAAAATTGCGTTAAGCACCGTCGAGAAGAAAGCAGAGATATTTGTGTGGGTGTGCGCATGAGTATGCGCGTGCATATGTACGTATGTGCGTGCATGTGTGCGCCTGTGTGTCCGTGTTTGCGTGTTTGTGTGTGCGTGCCTGCGTGCATGCGTGTGCGTGCGCGTGCGCGTGCGTGCCC